TAGTCGCTATGATAAACTGCTTAATCATCACGCTGGTGAGTTTCATCGATAAAAAGACGATACGTCACTTTCCGAGATCCATCGATTTTATCTTTTGCTTGAAATATAAATCTAAAGGATGCTCTTCCGCAAATGTTAATTAAAATTGATCTTTGTCCCTTTCCTATATATCTCTTACATTTAAATATTTTTAGATTTTTGTTAATAATGATTTGCAACTTCCTATCTTCTACAAATTTATATTGATAATTGCATTTAGGTACTTCATGTGAGTGGACAGATCGATATCCTTCGTCGAGAGTTGTTGGCGATTTGCTATGACCAAGATTCTCAGCGCGATTCGATCGTCGCGGATATCAGATTTCTGATTACTCGGCATCAAAGAATAATAATGTTCTCGGATAATATCGAGGAGCTTTATTCCAACATTGCGCTGATGCAGTTTCTGTCGAATACTGTGGTTATCTGTTGCATCGGCTTCACGTTTATAAGCGTAAGTCGTTTAATTAATCGATCAAGATTTATTATATTTAACTTTACACTAAATTTTTTCGTATGTTTTTCTGACCTCTTTCTTCCAATCCTCTCACCAAAGTCCCTCGCCAAGGACCGAGCCACCGTGGTGCTGCTGAAATCCGCTATCTTTTATTTCGCCATAACGTTGGAAGCCTTCATCTTTTGCTTCGTCGGAGAATATCTCAGCGCCAAGGTTCGCGCACAATATTTTATTTTACATATGCAATGTTATATTTTATTCTTTCATGACCGAACTTGGCCAATTCAATACGTCTTACAGTTCTTTTTCAATTTTTCTGGCGCTTCTCAAATATCTTGGATCTTTCAAACCACTATTGCATTCAAAATCGAATTCAGATAAAATCGATAAATTTCTATCTCTCATTCTTCTCTATTTTTTTTTCAGAGCAAATCGATTGGCGATGCAGTGTACGAGTCGCTCTGGTATAACCTGACACCCGCCGAATGTCGAATTCTATTATTTGTGATATTAAGATCGCAGAAAAGATTGACCATCACCGCCGGAAACATTATGGATCTCTCTCTGGAAGGATTTACGACCGTAAGAATTCTTCCCCTCGTGAATGTATGCTAGAACAAGATAGAACGTCGAACTTTTTAATGTCTGTTAAGACGAGGTGGAAAAATATAAAACACCCACGCGGTTTGTTACACGAATGAAATTTATCGTTTTATTTTGACCAGGTGATGAAAGCGTCCGCTTCGTATATGTCAGTACTGCACGCGATGTATTAAACGAGAGACCAGCGGATAACAATTACTTGTGCCAAGCGCATCCATCGTGGTTACTGACGTATTGGACAGTAACAAGTGTAGCATCATATGTAGCTTGCCTGAAAAGCTTGGGAGTTGTTCTCTTCTATACTTATATATATATAAAAAAAAAAATAAAGTTTATATAAGAAGATGTAGAGAAATAAATTAAAAAATAAAATAATTAATTCTTTCGACAAATATATACGATATAATATAATTGTTTCGAAGAAAATATCTCGATTTATCTCGACGTTCGAAAGATACTTTCAAACATATGTGTATTCTATACTTCAACTTACTTAGTACTATCGATGACGTTAGTAGAATCCGAGTTTCACCAAGCAATTTTTAATTCTTATATATATATTTTTTTATATTTATAAGAAGAAAACAAATATATTATAAATTTATGTAAAATTGAATTTATACGTACGTCGTTGTCTTGCCTTTTCCGTGACTCACGCTGAGTGACATATGTATACCCGCTGCAAATAATTATCTCTCGCCGTATCGACGATCTAGACGTATCAATTTAATTTTCCCCGTCATTGGGGGAGACTAGCGGCTCATTTTCTTTACATTTTACCGTTTTAAAGCGTCTCAATCTATCCAATCATTATCTCGCACAATCTTCCCGAATGGCTCACACGTGGCTTTTGAATTTTTAAGATTCAGGGTGATCCTAGGAATCGTGCGTTCTCCTCCCTCTCGTTTTTTTTTCTTCTTCATTATCTATACCCGCACTTATCTTACCTAATTGTTGCAAGCTTGTCCAGCAATTTTACTTTGTTGGAAATATCTTGTGGATATTTTCTATTGGCTCGCGATGAAGGTGGGGGATCGGTACGCGCAGCGACCTTCTCGTATTCACTCGCTTTCATCTCGCGTGTTCATCCATGTGTTCGATATCGCCGCACGGGATACACGGTCGGCTTCTCGACGAAGTTTCGAAGTTTCGCGGCGATATCGATGTAAAGGGACATTCCGGTCGGAAGCGTTTCTATTCGAAGGCAGAACTCTGAAAATGGACTCGAAGATCGATTCGACCATCCTCGACGGCACTGTCAGTCGCTCGATCGAGATCGGTCTCCGCGTGATTGGCGTTTGGCCCGACTCGTCCTACGCCTTCCTTCGTCGCGCCTTCTGGATGATCACCCTGACGATAGCGCAGACCTTTCAATATCGCTATTTCGTCGTACACGTCCGCACCGAAGATCTGTCGCATCTCATGGACGGTCTGAGCACCACGATGTCCTACAGTCTGCTGCTTCTGAAACTTACGATATTCTGGATCAATCGACGGTGAGCTCCCGTTTCGCGAGAACAATGCACAAATTTAAAAAAAAATAAGATAAAATAAAAAATAATATATATATATATATATATATATATATACGTGTGTGTGTGTGTGTGTACGTGCGTGCGTGCGTGCGGGCGTACATATGTGTGTGTATGTGTTTAAACTAATATATAGCTTCCAAAAAATCGAACTATACAGTAACGTTTTTTCTTTATTTCAATTATCTCTCTATTTCAAATATGCATTAGAACAAAAATATAAGAATTCTCTGTTAACAATAAGCACATATATATATTTTTTAAACTCATAAACATTTTAAATCTGTAGAAAGTAATAAAAAAAAAGAAAAGTTGCACATTTTGTGTGT